ATTCGTCATGTCAGCGATTTTTGCTCCGAGATATGTACAGAAGTTCAACTCCAAATAAAGCCGAGCTCTGCTGTTTTTTTGCACCTTTTCCTCAGATTTTAGCTGCGTACGATCGAAGTTTTTCCAACTAAATCTAAATACTGACAAAGCATCTGATTCCCCTCTAGAAAGATAACTGAATAAACATCGTTTATTTCTTTATTTGCGTGAAACACGGGAATCGGATGTATATTTTTTTTGTTTCCTCGCCAGATTGTGTTTAATTTTGTGCGCAAATCTCGTCTAAAAAATCCATGCATCTATCAATCGTCTGTTGTAAACATTCAGAAAGGATTTTTTGGCAGGAAGAAGACAAAGAGAAGAAAAATCTGGATGTGTGTGTGTATATATATATAATGTGCCATGCTCTCAAATCCTCCATGAATGCAAAGTCCAGCCTGATTTCATAGCCTTTTCTCCTCCAATCGAGGCCATTCTGTCTAATTGCTAAGTAGTTTGAGCCCACACAATTTTTAGAATAGGCTATATAAAGATTATTGACTCATTAAGTACCTATTTTATTTTATGCCTGAATCGTGGTCTAATTGTGATGATTTTGAAGGGCCTGTTGAACTAAAAAGGTTTCAGGATTTGCGCGTTTTGCTAATCAGGAGCACATGGAAACAAAGCAGGAGCGGAAACTTGGAACCGGAATGAACGTTTTGGTCTGGATTTCTTCCCATTTACAGAAATCCAGTGTCTGTGCCTCTATTCCTTTCTGGGTCACAAGCGGGGTCAGATACCGTCCCAGGTACCACTGGACAAAAGGGAGGGCGCTCAAACCGTCACGCACACTCACGCTAACCCCTGGCTAAGCCTCTTTCTCATAAAGCCCACCTTAATCCCACTTTAAAGAGCGATCAGAAGGTGGATTACCTTTTTTATTAGACGTTTGCGGAAAATTATACACCCAATTAGATTCATTAAAATCAGAAATAGCTTCCCTTTTATTAGATCATCAAAGAATTTATCATCACTGGGACTGTTCCTTTTGAGTGAAATTAAAGTTAACTGAGAGCCTTTTAGGGACTTTTTTGTTGACTTTTAATGTGTGTCTGATTGGATAGAGGATTCTTATAGGATGTTCAAGTGAATATAAGAAAGTAAGTGTACGCACAGTCATACATGCAGAGTTTTGGCTTTTTCATGCAGAAATTTAAGACAGTATACAGAGAACGAGCAAAGAGGAGAAGGATTTTTTGTCCTGTAGTTGATTGCTTGAAAATGATCTTTTCCTGTGTAAATATCCAAGAGGATATTTTGTGTCAAAATGCCAAGATTCAGTAAAAACCAAAAAGCTTCTAATTTCCTAAAGACAATAATAGAAAAGTACACTTTATTATAAATGACTTTAACAGCAGGTATAAAGATGGAAAAGATGAGTATTTTATTAGTCTAGACGATCTCTTGTTTCATTCTGAGATATTTAATCTACATGGTAACAATGTCCCGCCAATCTGCGTCTCTCTCTGGAACCTGACGTCCACATTCCCCCGGTCTTTACTTCTCAGAATCTCCCTCTTGATCCACCAGGAAAAATTTGCTTTCTAAATCCTCGCCGAACCTCGCTGTCAGACTCTGACTCTTTCCAGGAAAAGAGGCCCGAAGAGGCCGTCTGTGGAATGAGCGCTCGCTTCCTCGCAAAAAATAAAAAAACAGATATACGGCGGAGGATTTAAGCTAATACCAGCCGAATTCAGCGTTTTCCATCTGTCTGAGTGTCTTCCCGCTGACATGCCGGCTC